TTGCCTTAAATATTTCCTATCTTAGCAAAAGTACGGAGCAATAATAATTTTATTATCTATTCATTTCATTTTTAGTTCATTCTTATAGGTTGGTGGGTGTAATGGGTGTAATGTCAACGAGCTATGTTACTATCCTCTAAGATTACCAGTTTCTATAAGTTCATAGTAAAGTCCTTAAATTCGGTAAATAGCTTGGCAACGATGGTCATTAAAAGACGAAAGGTTTCGATTCCGTGAAAACATTACACCAAATCTGCCATTTTATATACCAAAATTGTCCGTTGTAACAAGGGTACAAGTTCATAATGACGTCAGGATTGTTTTCATATATCTTTTCTTAAATTCGGTCGCTGATTTAACACGGATGTTTTTACAAAGATCGCTTTCCAACTTCAATGATAAATATTTACCGATAATGCTACACTGATAGCCGCTTTGACAGACTATAACGCGTAGACTGTTACTAATGTACATTAAATTATGACTGCTCAGTCATTAATATTCATCGAATAATTTGATGAGGAGAGAGATGGGAAGGTCAATTCAAATCTCAAACAAATTTTTATATTAAATGATGCCATTGCAAAAAGGATGGAGTGTTGAGATCTCTAAAGTCAAAATTCCTCGACACGACAAAGACAAATTGGTTAAGACTGCCCAAAAACTAACTGTTTGTGTCTAAATACAACATCAATTGACATCTCTTATATTAGTTGAAATGTACTCGCTCTTTAGATGTCATCATCGACTGAGTTCTCTTTCATCATTTTTATCAATTCTGAAGTATATGTAAATGTGGTTTGAAACCCTTAAATCTGATGTGGAACCTGGGAATCGGCTTTCTTTGTCATCTAGTTAAAAACTTCAACCGATAATAGACTTCAGCTGTTTTTATTTATAAATGAGAACCATAACTCCCACCACTTCAATCCGAAAAGTTGAGTTCTTGCTCTCTTCGCTGTTTTTGGCGCTGCATGTGTACGTAGATCTATTTATTTTTGTTTTCTTATTGTTTGTTTAGATTGACGTAAACAACGTATACTACCATGCTCCAAGATTAGCAGTTTGACATACAAATAACAAAACACNTGTTCGTTAATGTCCAATGGTGATGCTGGTTTCCATAGTTTTTCCCAAAGAGTGAACTTTTGTCTGTACTGGCGGGATATCCAATGCGAGAATCAAATGTATGTGATCGAGAACCGTTCTATAGAAAAACCAACGAGTGATGGTAAATGTAACTCAAAGAAGCTACAGGGATGGTTCTATCGAATCTCTTTCCGTCTTCAATTATTTTGATATAAATATAGTTTATGATGTAATGATAGCCACCTTGACCAACTTCAAGGCCCTCACGCCTGAATTCATTGTTATTTACAAAGGAATATGATGACAAGCGAAAAAGAAAGGATGAATTCAAATCTTAAAGGTACTTATACGAGAAATACTGTCACAAAGTGATGCTTTGAGATCTATAAAGTCACGTTTTATTGACGCTCCAAAAATGTAGCCTTTCAACGCCTCAAAAATGAATCGCATTTATTTAAACAAAAGAAACCAATCTACGCTTGATATACCAGCTAACATGAAATCGTATTTTAAATGTTACCATTAACTAATAACATATAGGGCAAAGCTACTGAATGCTGATTGCTCAATAAAGAGGGTAGTTTTTCTTAATTTTGCTTGTGAAGAGGGCAAAATTAACTTCGCTTTAACTTTGTTTGAAAAAGCGCCAACTTTATATTTTCAAAGTTGAAAGTTTGTTAGCAGGCCTGGTTTTCAATGTCCTGGTATGTTTGTGCAAAAATAGAATTTCATTCAGCTTATTCGCACGTTTCTGGTGATTGATTCTTTGTCAACATTAAATGGCTTGCTGTGACTGATTACTCGGTATTTTTTTTTTAATTACTGACAGTATTTTTCCCTTTATTTCATTAACGAGTAATCACAATGGGTTCTTGTAAAATTAGGGATCAGTATCACTTGTGTTTTCAGAAGTTGCTGAAATTGCACTCGTCGCTGCGCGACTCGGGCAATTTTAGCAAATTCTGAAAGCACGCGTGATTTTAATCCTTAATTTTACTCGACCCCATGCAATTACTAATACTTATAACCAGTGACCATGAACCACAGTTTTTTTTTCGCTAGTATCAAAGAGAACCATACCTCCGATAATTTCAATCCAGATAGTCGATGTCTTGTTTCCTAAGCTGTTTGTGGCGCTGCATGTGTATTGGCCAGAGTCCTCCAGCCTCGCTTGACGAATCGTGAAAGTGTTCTTGTTGCCGATATTCACCCCATCTTTAGTCCAGAGTACCTCAGGTTTTGGAAAACCTCTCTGCGAGCAATTGAACTGAAGGGATGAATTATACGAAAGCGACCGATTCGTGAGATGAGGATTAATTTCAGGAGGACCTGGGCAAAGAATTGACAAATACAATTCAAAGTAGGTGAAAATAAAAACATTGAAATAAAAGGAATATTTAAAAGTTAACAATATGTAACATTTGATCCGAAAGTAGCTTCTCATTCCTTCTCATTATTTTTGGCGCTGCACGTGTATTGATCAGCGACTCCATAATTCACTCGATTCTTCAGTAATGGTGAGCGTGTTTGTGTTACCAAGTAACCTTCCATCCTTTGCCCAATTTAACTCTGGCCTCGGAAAACCCCTCAAATACAAACTCATTTGAATTGTGGAACCGAGAGTTGTTTCAGGAGGACCTTTTAATTTGAGAAAAAAAAAACAAATAAAAAGTGTAAAAATTGAGCCTATCCCCTCCCCTCTTGTCCCTTTGAATAATTATGATAATAATTCAATATTTATATTGCGCAAATTAACATTATGATCAAATGCGTATTAAAATGTTTTGCGGGGGACTGAACAGACTGCTTACAGCAGTTTATAGTTTTTTGTAGAGACTAATTTTATCAGATGCCCCGAGTTTCAGAAGACAAGCCAGACGACAACACTGCGGGCTACGTTCCCTACTTTTCATGATAGGTGTGTGAGTTCTTTAATGTCCCTTAATAACCAGTACAGAGAAGATGTGGGATAGTGTCGCTCACAATCTTGGTTTCATTCTCTCCCAAGCTTTCCCCTGCTGTAAAAGCCATATTTATTTTGATTAAGAAAATAGAAAGCGCTCGATTGCTAAAATCACGCCTAGTCTACAAGAAAATGTAATGATCTTTCCTTTCTCAGACTTCAGAAAAATTGGCTTTCTTTTGCCTGACAGAATATAAATCTGGCATCTAATTGGAAAATGATGAAAGTCCTGCAAAAATAAAAATTTAAAATTTTGAATTCAATGCGCTCATTTTTCCCTTTCTTCTTCTTCTTTTTTTTTCTTTTAATTGCAAATACTTAAGGGGGGGAGAGTGTTTCGACCAACACTTGAGTCCTTTCATTTCTCCTCATACATGCAACCACTTACATTTACCAGGCCGTGATTCCTGAGTTCTTGAGCAGTTAAATTCTAGAAGTAAGGTTATCCATATAATATTTTAAAAGTAATAAACGATTAGATCTTAAGTCCACTTAATTCTGTCTGAGAATAAAGTGGTCGTTAATAACTCCTGCGGGTTCCCGGACAATTCCCAGTTAAGAAAATGGGAAACAGACAGGGAATGAATTTAATCTGGCGTTAATATTACTTGAACATACATTTGGTACTTTTCTAAATATAGTAATAGTTCATGTTTGGTTATCAATCCATTGTGCATAGTGTAACGCCCTTGAGTTTAATGACAGCCTTTATTACGTATAGCACGATAATTTTATTCCATAAGGCTCATTTGTAGAAATCTATAAGCTTTACTTTCACATGTGAAAAAAGCCTATACAGCCAATCAGAATGGCGTACAGCTCTTTCACGTGTCAAAGTATAACCAATCGAATTGCTTGAAAGAATTGCACGCGCGCTCGCTTCCTCGAGCTCGCAAAACTTCTGCAACTGCTCGCATGCATATACTACGATATTCTCCATTGNAAGCTTATAAATCAGCCGCCTTACAGGTCCCGATTTATAAGCATCATCCATGTACTACCAACATCCAGCAGGGATTTATCATGTTATCAAGCGCAGGAAAGTGAGGTTTATTTTTGGTTTATGTTTTTTTTTTTCAGAGGGTGGTCGAGGCCATTCATATTCATAACACTTAAAAGTTTTGCTTCTATTATGCATCTTTGTATTGGCATTATCCACTGATCCACAAAGGAACACTGTGTTCTGTCTGTATCCATTTATTAGGAAGCATTCTTTTGTTCAATCAACTTTATTATTCCTACTGATACACGATAGTTCAAGCATAACTACTTACAGTCTGTTAAACAGGTTAGGATGAGGACGTTAGGCGAACATAAGAAGAAAGATTGCACATTCGGTAAGTAAATGAGTGGCTTAATATAACGTTGGATTACTTGGCAACCACATCATAAGCTTCATGAACTAGCTGAACCTGTTGTACTCACCCGCTTATAAATCATGAAAGTATGCCATGAAAGAGAAAAATAATTTTAAATAAACCCATTAATTCACTTATCATTTATTTATCTATTTAAACTAACCAGTCTGTTTGGTTAGTCCTATTTTTCTTTCATGTTGAGGTAAAATAAAATAACAGGGCTTTTTAAATGAAACAAACGATCAGTCCCAACATGACTGACATGGTTTTCAGAAATACATAATAACTGACCACAACTGGCAGTAACGTCTTTTCGACTTTAACATTTAACAGAAACAGCTATCTCTTATCGTCAGTGCTATACACCCCCAGATTCCCTTGCTCTGTTTACGATTGCAATTTGCGGATCAGTAGCCAGGTGGTTCAAAGAGTCAATGATGTATATTGACTCACAGGAGAGTTCTTTAATAACATGAACGGAAGATTTTGATAGTTACCTTCCCTTTTGGCTTGGAAGGAAAGATGAGATAATAAAAGATAAGTAGCTCATGATGTGAATCTAATGTGAATATAGTTTTAAGTTATGGAATAACAATCCATCTTACCCTTTTTAGAAAAAAAGGAATTGGGTTCAGTAACGCATGAAAAGCGAGTGATAGCACCTAACTTTACATTTCTCAAACATTTTCCCAGGATGCGACGCGGGAAAATAAGTCCCCAAAAACTTAACCTTGCCTTTCTAGAGTCCAGTTCAAGTGTTTCAAGCCAATTTCGAGTTATGAGTTTGACTGATTTTATGGCA